TACTTAAAATAGAGTACCTTGTTTCACATGGTTAAACATAGTGGAAAGTCTAATTTGGTCCTTCTTAGGAAGTGGAAATGGTGCATCCTCTCAGAGGAAAATATTATTTGGTCTATCTTACTTTCTTATAAGTATGGTGATATGGCTAAAGCAATCTTGAGTGATTCTTTGTCTCTTGTCATTCAAATTCTTCCTTTAGGCGCAAATAGATTTGTTCGGTGGGTGAAGCTTTGGAAGCTAATCAAGAGTCGTGGCTCTCATTGACTATTTCTTGCAAGCTTAGGCACAACATGACTATTGACTTTTTGCTTCATAGTTGGATTGGTCTGGTAGCCTTATGTTCGCAATTCCCGTTCCTCTTTTTGTATGCTAGAAATTCTGATTTGAAGGTTTTTGATTGTGGAGGTTGGGCCAAGAATAAACTACTCAACTATTTTTTTTTAATTTAACATTTTCAAACTCAATTGTTTATTTATTTTAATGAAGGTTAAAATATTTAAATCAATTTCCATTTTTCAATTTGTTTCCCATTTTTCTCATAAATGCAGATTAATAAATGATGGCAGCAGCAACATTCAGGGAACACGATTTCGGAACGTGAAAAAATGCAATTCTAAAAATCGGTGATTTCTGTCGTGTTTAGGGAAATTGTTTTAGGAAATCAGCGATAATCACGTGTTTGAGGAGAATGGCAGTAGCTGCAGTTCATGAATTTGGCACAGATTACGACAATGTATATAACGCAGTGGCATGAAGATGCTGCAAATTGCAGTTTGTGTAACCTAGCAGATTTCAAATTAGAAATCAAATCTTATGTTTCAAATCTAACGCAGTTCCAAATTTGCATATATTTTTTGCTTCCATCTAATAATATTAGTGTTTCAAATTGCAATTTGGCCGAAGTAGATTTAAATAATAAATCATATTTTTATAGTAACCTTGATTTTGTTTTTCTGATATAATATTATTAACACTTTTATGCTAACATTGATTTGATTTTTCTAATATAACAATATTAAAAAAATTTATAGTAATATTGATATAACGGTATTATGCACATTGTGTCTTATGGCCAGATTAAACCAACATTTATACATAAATCTTGGTTTAAAATTGGAGGCATCACAATCCAGGTATCTCAAATTCTTTCTTGGACAACTAATTTAGAACTCTTATAATCCGCCTAGAGGAAGTTGTTTCTCAATAAAAAATTTTGGACGTTTTCTCAATAAAATTGTTATTTGAGATTGATACTATTAGCACAACATTTAATAGATTCGTAGTTTGATGATTAGTGAACATTTAAGTTCGTTATCACTCCATTTGGTTTGCGTTACGTATATTTCTTCTAGAAAGTATGTTCGATTAGACGATTTGATTCGGGTTGTTTTTCCCCTGCACCTTATTTTGAAAATAGATTTTTTCCAAAAAAAAAAATTTCTAAAATTTGTGGTCTATTCATCCTCTCTAGATCGAAGTCTATCGTCTAACATATTCATTCTCCCTTAAATTATGGAAGAGGTTGTTTCTCTCCTGACACCTCTAAAGTCACGCGCGTTATATTTACCAATCATAGGTCTCAAACTCAAGCCCGATTAGACGACCGAAAATGCCCTTCGAAAAACCTGCTTTTTGTCACGGCCAATTTTCATTCAAGACATTCTATCATGAGCTATTCCTTTTCAAGCTAATAAAATAATCATAATCCTAATAATAAAGTATAATATAACAAAAATATAATAAACAAAGTAATGTTTATTATTCAACTTATAACTTATAAAATTTATATTATTTATCATAAGATATAAAGAGAAAAAGTTAAAAATCTATAATCAAAAGCTCTCATGTTTATAACAAACAAAACTACTTAACTTTATTATAAGATATAAAGAGGAAAAGTTAATTATTATTTATTATAACACCAACTCCACATTGTAATTTTCATTTTCAAAAATTGTTATGCCTTACAACTGATTTATAAGTTTAGAACTGTTCTTTCAAATAAACTACTCAACTTTTTTTTTTAAATTTAACATTTTCAAGCTCAATTGTTTATTTATTTTAATGAAGGTTAAAACATTTAAATTAATTTCTATTTTTCATTTTGTTTCCCATTTTTCTCAAATTTCTACAAAAACATTTAAATCAATTTATATATTGTTCGTAACCGTGTTTCTGAAATGGGTTGGTCTAACTTTGATTGTGTAGTATGAAAATGTGGTTTGAGTCCTTGAACTTATTCAAACTGTGAAGTTTGCTGACTTAAGGAATCCATACAGGAATCAGATGTGAGATTTCCAATTGTGATTGGCCAAGCGGCAAGCCAAAACAGGGTCAATTGCAAGAAGCTGCTCGTGAGATGAGGTTATTGCATCTACACGTTGTGTTAGTAAAATATTAGGTCTCATTTACTTTCTGAAAAGATTTTAATTTTTTGTTTTCTAAGATTTATGTTCATTTTAAATTGATGATAAGGAGATGAAAGACTCATATAGTGAACAATTGTGATAGAGGGAAGATGAAAGCCAAACTAGGAAGAATTCATTATAATAAACAATGGAATACTGTTTTTGTTTTTTTTTCTTTCTTGAAAATGCTAGATTTGTTTTCAAAATTATAAAAGAAAATGGTGAAGAAAATGTTAGATCTATATTCTCTTTTGTTTATTAGTTGAAGTGAAAATGAAAACATGGAAGTATACAGGCCCTTAGAGTTAGATGTATGTGCTATATTCTCTTTTGTTCATCTCTAGTGTATCAGCTCCACCGATTCATCTCTTGTGTATAACCGACAACTATTGCTTACAGTGTTGTGGGTCCTAGAAATTTTAGGAAACTTGTTCTGAAAGGTCTTCATGTTGTCGCTCACACTAATTGTTCGAATCACTCAAACTATAGCTTGATCGTTCAAACCTCATTCGTTTCAGCATCAAAATGTTAGATTCGATGACAATGTTTCATTTACAGATATTCCTCTTGTTTCACTCATTCGATCCTTCAGCATTATATGTATGCCTCTCTCTCTTTTGTGTTCACGTATCTAACTTCTAACCTCACTTGTTCAATTGTCTAAGTGTTAGATTCTTGTTTATATTTTCATTAATTGTTGGGAAAAAAATATATTCATTCTTAGGGTTGAATTGAAGTATCAGTTTTTAAGGATTTAAAAAGTAGTCACAGTTGGGAAGGTTTTCTTGATTTCGGTCGGTAGAGGTGTCACGACATAGATTGGGGTTGTTGTGAATTAATATAAAGATGGTGATAATGGTATCAGTATTGTCGGCAACTGTCAATATAGTTTTGTCGCTGCCATTTTTGCGGTCGCGCATTGTTCTTTAAAATCTTGTCATTATCTGGTAATCACGTTGAATGAATTCCATGGATAGAATGTGTAGAAAGAAATAATAATAAAAATCCATGTGGTTATTATTAATTTTGATGTTGGTTTATTTTTGTCTGTTAATTGCAGGTGCTTATTCCATTTATGATGGACCTGCTATTTCACACAGTCCTTATCTTTGAACTGTGACTCTGTTCTTTTCCTCAATTGTTCTTCTTTCAATCAAAGCTTATGTTTCTCTGTAAATTCCCAAATTGAAGCTGAAGCTTCAGTAGCTTCTTTAAAAAGGAAGATATTTCATTTGAAGAAATCATGGGGAAATCCGCTCTTATTTCTTTCGTCTATTGTCTTTGCCTGGCCATACTATTGTTGCTTACAGAACCGGTTGTAGAGAACTGAGAAAGCTCTTGTTTCATTGCGTTGACCCTGAATCTCTAAGTTTGGAATTGTTATATTCAGTTTTTGTAATTTCTCAGGCTGGTTTATATGTTGCTTCATTGGTTTAACTTGTTTTCAATATAAAACTGTTGTGATATTACAAGCTAGCTTAAAGAAAATTTCTGAAATTGTCAAGACTTTTTCTTGGTGGCTCATACAAGTTACAACCACATAAGTTTATTTATGCTTTTTTAACACATTTATGCTTTACTTAAATAGGCCATATCATGCAAGTATGCTTTTTGCGGCTATCCGAAGGTCCCACGTTCTCCTACTTCTTCCAGAGGCATAACTTCTTTAAGTGACAGTAAAATAAGGCGGAGACCTTTTGGGACTTCTCGTGACGAAGAATTACTGGCCAGATTACTTGAAGACTCAGACAACTTTTTCGTTACATGTCAAGGAGTTCCTCTTCATTTCAAGCTCAGCTTGCCTGGTTCGCCTTCACATACTTTGTCATCAACATCTTGCATTGAACTAAATTCTAGTTACTACACTTTATCTATGGATGGAGGGTTGGAAAAATAGTGTTATAACTATTATTGTAGTATTCAACAAAATGGTAATGTATTTTCACATTTTGCTACATTATAGCACTATAGCACACCACTAAAGCCGATATTGAACAACACTCACCATTGTTAACTGAAGTTATTACTGAACCTATTACCATTTTATACTGACTATCCAGGAAATGAGGCGTCATGCTGGGTGTATGGGTTTCTTATGTGAGAGCAAAGTTCTCTCATGGTCAAAAGATGATTTTAGCTATTCATATGCAGTAAAGCTTTTGATTATTTATTTTACTCTTATCTTTGTAGCTTCTTAAGTGGTTGAAATATTATATCTTATTAGCTTTTTACCAATGTTACCTGCACTTAGGTCTCCTTATGTCAGATAAACTGAGGCGTTCTCTTGGAATCTGCATTTGCGCATGATTTTGATCAAAGAGAGATGTTCTTCATATATCTTTCTCTTGGAGATTTTCAAAATAAAAATAAGAAGGTTTGTACACTAACTCTAAACGTGGAGTGTGTTGTAAATTGTTTTTTTTTGTTGTAATTCTCACTTCTAATCTTGATATTTAGGTACTAAAAAAGGAAATGATAGTTTCATCTATTTGGTGAGGGTTGAAATATGGCTTAAAATAAGTGATTCAGATTTTACAAAGGTAACTATTTATTGCAGCATGATCTTATCACACAATTGGATTCAACTTCTACATGCATGACATATTTTTCACTCACCATCCTACATCTATATATGAATTGTTAAAAGTTTTTTGGGCCAATTATGGTGGTATCTCTGCCAATGATTTGGATGAAGAATTGAAATGGTGAGTCCATATATATATTTAGATGGTTGACATTTCGCCTCCTATTGTATACTATTTGCTGCTAATGTTATACCGTGTGCAGGGATATTGATTTGATGCTTGAACAATGAGGTGGACATACTATACTCTAAAGAGAGGCCACAGTCGCTCCGGTATAATGTTGCAACGTGTTGTCTAGCACAATGGTTGATCATTGGATTGCCTAAAGGCTCTCGCGTTAAAAATTTATTGGAATGAGGTAGGACTATATTGTTCGAATGGACGCGCGGGAAAATCGCCGGAGCAGATTTCTGATATCTCTGAGTCTTGTGCTCAGATGGTTTTTCAGTTGCACAATCACATTGAGGTAATTTTGAAATTTACTGCGTTTTTCACTGTTTACTGCGATAAATAGTCACGTTTATATATGAAACGGTTATCGTACCTAAGAGTTTCCATGTGAGTTTGGATTGGGATTTACCGTTTACCTTTTTCTATTTTAGCCATTTTTCTTTAATTTTCTATTTTTGTAATATTACTTTCACATCACACTCAATTTCTTTCTCTACTTTATGTTGTGAGAGTGAGGCAATAGTAGATATACCTGTTACAATGATTAAGCGCATTCTATTGGTGCAAGTTAGATTTTTTGTCCTTGTGTTGCCTCCCATTCTATGTGAAGACATACCAGTATCCCCCCACCGGGCATTATATTTGTTCAGTTACAAACAATTCCACAAGTCATGTCAATACAGCGAACAATGTTGTGCTTGTAAATTGGAACTAGTGGAAGAAAACTTGCTTCAACAGTATGCAGTTGAATCAAATGGCAAAAGAACATATATTAAAATTTTAAGGGGATGGATTAGTCTTCGTTGTAATGTCTTACTTTAAAATTACTTTGGCCGTATCAAGACCTCTTGATTTATGGTGCATTTTTTTAAAAGATCTTTCACATGACTTATCTAGATTGAATTATATGGTTAAATATGTTTGAAGTTATTTCTAAAATCTTATGATTATGGATGAGAATGTCATGAAATAACAAAATTAAAAAAATACTAACCACTGCAGGTTAAGGTGAAGATTAAGGTTGTCACGGGATCTCCCAGTGGTGCTGTGGCGGCTGAAGCTAGATGGAGTGGTTCCCATTGGGTCATACTAGACAAGTAATTAAACATCAAAAAGTATTTCTTTTTCTGAGCTACATTAGTTTGTGTCAAAAGTTAAATGCAAATATAATATTTTGTAGCACACTTGCATTATAATTTTTATTAGAGGCTTCAACAACTTATTAGCTATATTTAAGAGAATAATATTAGCTTGATTGAATAACTGCATCTTGCTAAGGGTAATCATTCAATTGATATAATCAATTATTTGTTAGTTAATATGATTTGTTTGAATAACTGCATAACATAACTTTCAATCATAAATAATAAATAATAAGTAAAACTTTTTGGTGCTGCATGCCCTATCAGTGAAATATTTGTTAGTGAACTCCTTAACTTTGCTGGAACAGGAAACTAAAGCAAGAGGTAAAACATTGCATGGATGATCTTAACTGTAGCATTGTGGTGATGAATGGATCATAGCCTAAAGTCCTCAGACTTAATTTAGGAGGACCCTCCGATGAATTCCAAACACCAATTTTCTCTACTTCTTCACCAGGTATAGAAATCGGAAAGCTAAATGGGCGCAGATTGAAGCATTTCCCCCTAGTGGGTAGTCCTGAAGTAGCAGGCTCTTCTGTTACAACCAATATTGGATTAGATTCAGTGTCAAACTCAATGACTTCTCCTACTGATGGTAGACGTTCATCTGAGTCTAGCTACCGAATTCTATAATGACATACTTTCTAGATTATGAACCTTCTTATTCATTTTTGGCACAATGATACTTATTGTTATAAGATTATGATTTGATATGTTTTCGGATTTTAGTATTACATGACATGATTATGGAACTTTCATTTTACATGATTATGAAACTCATGTTTTTTCGATATTATAATGTTTATTTGATATTAAGTTTTGAAATTAATTTTACTACGCTAAAAAGCGATAGAATTTTTTTTTTAAAAAAAATTATAAATAAAAATATTATTGTATAAATAATTTAAAGAAAAAATAATATAACTATTTTATTAGATAATAATTTAAACAAAAGAATATATTATAAAACAATATAATACAATATATAAAAATTAATAATGAACCGTCAAGATATCACATTCACGACAGTTTTAAACCGTCACAATAAACAATGGTAACAAAAATCAAAACGATATTCACGACAGTATTTAACTGTTGTCATTTCCAATTTATGTCAGTTCCAACCAGTCGTGAAATAGAGTTCACGACAGTTTTAAACCGTCACAATCAACAATGAAAATAAAAATCAAAAGACTAGTAACGACGGTCTTTAACCGTCGCTATCTCCAGTTTAGGTCAGTTCAAGCCCGTCGCAAAATATAACGACGGTTGTGTGTGACGGTTTTTTCAACCGTCGCTAAACACCCATTGCATTACCGCATCAATCTTGGATGGATCAATACTAATACCATTACCGGAAATAACGTTTCCAAGAAAACTTACTTCCGACAACCAAAACTCACACTTCGACAACTTAGCATACAATTGTGTCTCTTTCAAGATTTGTAACACAATCCTCAAATGCTCTTCATGCTCCTCTTGAGACTTAGAGTAAATCAAAATATCGTCGATGAACACAACCACAAAACGATCCAACTGATCATGAAAAATACGATTCATGTATTCCATAAACACACCCGGCGCCTTAGAAGCCCCGAATGGCATCACGGAATATTCGTAATGGCCATACCGTGTCCTAAAGGCCGTCTTTTGAATATCCTCTTCTTTCACACGAATCTGGTGATATCCCGATCTTAAATCAATCTTGCTAAAAACACGTGCACCAACCAATTGGTCCATCAAATTATCTATCCTTGGAAGCGGATACTTGTTCTTAATCGTCACCTTGTTCAACTGTCGTTAATCAATGCATAACCGCATACTCTTATCCTTCTTCTTTACCAACAATACCGGAGCACCCCAAGGATAAACACTTGGCCTTACAAATCTCTTGTCCAATAAGTCATTCAATTGCTTCTCCAATTTCACCAACTCCGATGCCGACATACGGTACGGTGCCATAGAAATAGGTCTAGTACCCGGAACTAGATCAATAGAAAACTCAACTTCTATTTCCAGAGGTACATCCGTAATATCCTTCGGAAACACTTCTGGAAAATCACATACCACAGGGAATGCATCTAGCTCAACTTTATTCTCAACCGACAATGATGCAAACAACCCGAACAATTGAGCTTCGTCCGCTAAAAGTTTCTTCAACTCCTTAGTGGACAGAAAACTCTCACCTTCATCATCTTCCAAAGAAGGAAACTTCACCGAATTGTGATAACAATCTATATAAACTCTATTAAATTGCAACCAGTTCATACCCAAGATTACGTCTAATCCTTCCAACGGCAAACATACTAAATCCATAATGAAGTCTTTACCATACATGGTCAAAGGACAACTTACACACACCAAAGATGTAGTTACCGACCCCGAAGCAGGAGTCTCAATAACCATGTCACCACCCCAAGAAGTCATGCACAAATTTAAACGCTTAACGCACTCATGAGAAATAAACGAATGAGTCGCTCCAGTATCAATAATAGCAACTAAAGGCGTATTATTAATAAAGCATGTACCTTTAATTAAACGATCTGCACTAGTAGTGTCTGACCCAGCTAATGCAAACACCTTTCTGCCCGCTTGAGCTTGTTTCGGTTTAGTACACTTAGTACTAATGTGACCCATTTCTCCACAATTAAAACACTTCACTACATTCCTTCTACAATAAGAAGTAGCATGCTCAATGCCTCCACAGTTTAGAACATTTCACTACGGTTTTCCCGCACTCAAAAGATTTATGACCCATTACACCACACTTATAACACTTAACGGAACCGGAACCTCCTCCTCTAGATCTCTTATAAAAGTTTCCCTTATGCTTTCCCTTATCAACCGGTGTCACATAAGGTCCACTCCTAGCTTTTTGCTTTCCCTTCCTCTCATTCAAACTTTTATAATGCATAGAACGAGCCTTGCTATCTTCCTCGAAGATTCTACAACATTCTATCAATTTCGAAAACCTTCGTATCCTTTGATATCCTACCGCTTGCTTAATCTCAGGACGCAAACCATTCTCATACTTAACACACTTTGAGAACTCAGCAGTAACTACAGCATAATGAGGATGGAATTGAACCAACTCCACAAACTTAACAGTATAGTCCACCACGGACATACTACCTTGTTTTAGTTCAAGGAACTTTGTTTTCTTCTTCCCTTTCACACTTTCGGGGTAATACTTCCTCAAGAACTCAGTACGAAATATATCCCAAGTTATCTCTTCTTCATCCACCTCAAGAACTTGACGCATACCGACCCACCAATCATCGGCTTCTTCCTTCAGCATGTGAGACCCAAGTCTCACCTTATTCTCCTCCGCACAGCCTATAACTCTGAAAATCCTTTCAATCTCTTTCAACCAAATTTGGGCACCATCGGGATCAAATCTTCCTTTGAAGACCGGTGGTTGATTCTTCCTGAACTCGTCATTTGCGTTCACATTCGGCGCACCTTGCACCGCCCTAGCCATTGCTTTCAAAGCCGCAGCCATCGCATTGTCGTTACGAGCAGCCATACTCTGACAATTCCCAAAAATAACAACAAGGTTAAACAACCGTTCAACCATCACAACAACAAGACAGACACAACTGACTCAACACTGGCTCTAATACCACTTAATGTAACACCCCCTTTCTATACCCCTAAATAATCAATTAATATAACTCTGAAAATCCTTTCAATCTCTTTCAACCAAATTTGGGCACCATCGGGATCAAATCTTCCTTTGAAGACCGGTGGTTGATTCTTCCTGAACTCGTCATTTGCGTTCACATTCGGCGCACCTTGCACCGCCCTAGCCATTGCTTCCAAAGCCGCAACCATCGCATTGTCGTTACGAGCAGCCATACTCTGACAATTCCCAAAAATAACAACAAGGTTAAACAACCTTTCAACCATCACAACAA